CACCATTAGAACTTACCTTGGGTGGTGGAAGGACCCTTAAAGAGTTAGGTTTTTGAGAGTTCCCCTTTCTAGAGCAAGTTTTTATGTTTTGGGGCTGTGGGGACGAAATATAGCTTTAAAATGACCCCCCACGCGCGAGTTCGCGCACCTAGAGGCTTGTTCGTGCGAGATTTCGTGCTCAACGGCAGTAACACTGCCTCCCACGCGCGAGTTCGCGAACCTGGAGGCTTGTTCGCGCGAGTGTTCGCGCTTACGCATACTGTTCCGAAAAATGCACATAACGTTTTGCACAGAGATCTGTTCGGGCTCCATAATATATCGTTGGAAAGCTATTTCAAAGTCCTACAACTTTAATGCTTTGCATTTTCCCCATTTCCTTACACATTTTCGCTAAAACTTTACGGAAGACATACCTTCTGCAACTTAGTCGATTTTTATCAAATCTTATGCACCTCTCTTTTCATTTTGATTTTTTGTAACAACTATTTTATCCAAAATCATCCTGTTGGGACTTCACATGTTCAAAATATAACCTTACCACTCATTTACCACATTCACACCTAAGCCGAATTTACGGGGTATTACACTGGTTCGATACCGGTGCGGTACCTACATCTAGTTCCCTTGGGTCACAAGGGTTTTCTTAAATCTTTGATAAATGATTACAATAGTGATGGTTTTAGTATGTTCACCATAAAAAATCTACGACAATTGTGATTTTTTCAATGTTGACACAACTCTCTTTTTGTGTTCTAACTCTTCCTATCTTTTGTGACAGTTTAGACTCAAGAATACAAGGTTTGTACTAAGAACTAGAAAGGCTTAAAAATAGTCTGTGTAGTTGCGTGAATCATCTTCTTGAGTTTGCTAGTCTTCTTATAGGAGAGTTGGAATAGCCGTTGCAAATTGATCTTTGATTGAGGCACAGAATCCTCTATGAAATTTGACCTTAGGGGTGCCTCTGAATCCTGCACATGAGATGGGCTGGATTCATTTACGTCCTTCCCCTTTTATATCCATAGTTCAGGGAGTGATTGTGGAATTTATTTGGTTGATCAATCTTCAGATTCTAATTTAGTCCTTGAAGTATGGTCTGATATACTTTAGCAGTTGCTTGATATGTTTCCTTCTTGAGAGAGCCTCGATGTCCTTTGATTGAAACTTTACCGTGTGAACTTGATTTTGTTTCCGTTTTGATGGCTTTGACTTCCTTTGATTTAGCATCGTTCATGTTTCTTTTGATCTCGTTTCTTTTTTGATGTCCTTACCAGAAGGACTTCTTTTGAAGTAATGCTACTTCCTAATTTCCTGCAATCAAATAGATACAATTAGATTTGCACTATTGTCATCATTGACACTTCGGTGTAACAATCTCCCCCTTTTTTATGATGACAATCAAAAGAGAGTAAACAGAGTATACTCCCCTTTCATAGCTTAAGATGCCTGCTCCCCCTGAGTTGTTATTTAGATTTACTCATCACTGCTCCCCTTAGTTGTTGCTCTAGTTTACTCGTCAGGTTTCTCCCCCTTTGACATCAATGTAAAAGAAAAAAAACACAAGTGCAAACAAATCATACAAATGGACAGAGTAGTTAGGGTAGCAGAGGTTATACCATCAGATGAGGCACAGAGTGATGGTTCTTACAGACCAATGCAAAAATAATTCACAAAATAAAAGCAATCAAAAATGGTTTTTAACTCACACACACTGCCTTAGTTTCTCCCCAGAAAGTAATTCAGAGTATTGATCACTTTGGTGCAGAAAGAGTCATAGTAGGTTTCAACTTATTTGGTAATTTTGTCTATCTTTTCTGTCATGGAGTTGAATGCCCTTATCCCTTGCCTCCACGTGGCTCCCATGTCCATCTTGATCTTGGCCACATCTGTACCTGTTTCTTTGGTGACTTCCCTGATTTTGTCCACATGTTCTTTCATTGCAATGAGCAGGATTTTTACCCCATCTAGATTTTGCTGAATCTGTTGTAGGTTGTTAGTGGCAGTCGACTGAGTCTCTGTTGGTTTAGTAGGTGCTTTAACCTGTAGTGGAGCATGTTCAACTTTGGCACGCTTGACCCATCCATCGTCACTTAAGGTGTAACCCATCATAGCAAAGGCTGTCTTATCATAGTTACTGGTAATGTGCTTGGGCGAGAAAGGTGCCAAATCAACCTTCATGACTTCCAAAATAGGCATAATGCCAATCTTTTTACGCAGTAAACAAAATCTTTCTTCCAAAAGAGGTTTTGTAAAGATATCAGCAAGTTGAGACTCAATACTAATGAATTATAATACAATATCACCTTTTGTAACATGATCACGGATAAACTGATGCTTGATTTCTATATGCTTTGCCCTAGAGTGATGCACATAATTTTTTTAACAAACATATAGCATTTGTATTATCACACAATTTTAGGAGTAGAGGTAATAGATAAATTATAATCGAGAAGTTGATGCATGATCCAAAGAACTTGTGTACAGCAACTTCAACCAGCTAAATATTCTGCTTCAGTAGTTGACAAGTCAACACAATTTTGTTTCTTGCTATGCCAGGAAATTAGTGCATTTTCCAACAATTGGCATATGCCACTAGTACTTTTCATGTCAATCCTATCACCTGCAAAATTTGCATCTGAAAAACCTTTTAAAACAAAATTGTTAGAGTGAGCATACCATAATCCTAATTCAGTGGTCCCAATAAGATATCTAATAATACGTTTAGCTGCAGTAAGATGGGATTCCTTTAGAGCCGACTGAAACCCTGCACATTTACAAACACTGAACATTATATTTGGTCGACTAGTAGTGAGATATAATAACGATCCAATCATTCCTCTATACATTGTTTCATCCACACTTTATCCATTACTATCTTCTTCAAGCGTAGTTGTTGGACTCATTGGAGTTCCAATGAACTTTGAATTCTCCATAGCAAACTTCTTTATAGGTTCCTTGCTGTACTTGGTTTGGCTGATAAAGATCCCTTTGCGAGATTGTTTGATTTTCAGTCTAAGAAAGAAAATTAGCTATCCCATCATGCTCATTTCGAATTCTCCTTTCATAGTGTGAGCGAATTCTTCACATAGTACAGAGTTAGGACTTCCAAAAATAATATCATCAACATAAATCTGAGTAATACGATTTCCTGAATTTGAGTGATTAATAAACAGGGTTGTGTCGATATTACCTCGTTTGAAACCTTGATTTAGAAGGAAAGAACTTAATCTTTCATACTAGGCTCAGGGGTCTTGCTTGAGTCTGTATAGAGCTTTAGACAGCTTGAATACATGATTTGGGAAGATTTCACTTACAAAGCTAGGAGGTTGCTTCACTTATACTTCTTCAGAGATGTATCCGTTTAGAAAGGTACCTTTTACATCCATTTGAAATAGTTTGAATCCTTTATGAGTAGAAAAAGCAAGTAGTACTCGATTAGACTCCAATCTTGCTACAGGTGCAAATGTTTCATCGTAGTCGATTCCCTCTTGCTGAGAGTAACCTTGAGCAACTAGCCGTGTTTTTATGAACCACTTGACCAGATTAATTCAAATTTGTTTTTGAAGACCCATTTAGTTCCTACAATGGAAACATTTGATGGTTTTGAAACTAAATCCCACACTTTATTTCTTTCCAATTGATCAACTTCATCTTTCATAGCTTTGATCCAATAGTCGTCTTTAAGGGCTTCATCCACCTTATTTGGATCAAGTTGTGATATTAAGGCCACGTGAGAGTTGAACTTCTGAGATCTTCTGGTAGTGATACCCTCCTGTGGATTTCTAATAATGAATTTTTGGAGATATCCAGGTTCACTTTTCCAATCATTTGGAACGTTTGTGATTGGATCCTTTTCCTCAGTGGTTGACTGTTCTACAGAAGAAGATTCCTGGATTTCAATGTGCTCCTCAGTTGACTGATTCTGCTGACTAGTCGACTCATCTTGACTGGCTTTTCCTACAACAACAGACTTTGGGACAATAAAAATTTCCTCATCTTCAGGAAGTTTTTTGTTCCTTGGGCGAGGGTTAGTATCCACAAACACAACATGAATTGATTCTTCAATACATAAAGTTCTTTTCTTGTAAACTCTATTTGCTCTACTTAAGGGAGAATATCCTAGAAATATACCTTCGTCGCTTTTTGGATCAAACTTGCCCAAATTGTCCTTTCCATTATTGTGGATGAAGCATTTGCATCCAAATGGGTGGAAGTAATTGATGTTGCGTTTCTTACCATTCCATAGCTCATATGGAGTCTTTTTAAGAATGGGTCGAATCAGACATCTGTTAATAATATGATATGCTGTGCTCACAGCTTCTGCCCAGAAATGGTGAGGTTGAGAGTTTTCCACAATCATGGTTCTTGCCATGTCCTGCAAAGTTCTATTTTTACGTTCTATAACTCCATTTTGTTGAGGTAATCTTGGCGAAGAAAAGTTGTGAGAAATTCCTTGATCATTGCAGAAGTTTTCAAATGCTCTGCTCTCAAACTCTCCTCCATGGTCACTTTTTATAGTGGAAATTTAGTATCCCTTTTAGCGTTGAACTTTCTTACCGGAGACTTCAAAATTCCTTAGAGCTTCATCTTTATGACTCAGAAAAATAACCCAAGTGAAACAAGAAAAAAGATCTGCAATAACAAAAGCATATTTTCTACCACCCACACTAGCAGCTCTAGTTGGACCAAACAAATCCATATGTAGGAGTTTAAGAGGTTAGTAGTAGAAATAATGTTTTTGATTTTGAAAGATGAACGAGTTTGTTTTCCTAATTGACATGCATCACAAATATGATCTTTTGAAAAATCTAGTTTTGGAAGACCAATGACAAGATTGTCTTTGGAATATTTTTGAATAGTATGTATGATAGCATGGCCAATCTTTCTATGCCATGCCCAGGGATCATCAACATAGATGCTAGACAAATTTGATTACCAAGACTATCTACATTACTGATAGTATAGACATTCCTGTCTCTATTACCAGAAAGAATAACTTTACCTTATTCGTCTTCAATAAACCAACCATGTTTCTTAAAATGAACCTCATAGTCATTGCCACATAGTTGACTGAAACCGAGAAGATTGTAACCAAGTTCATCAACCAGGTATACTTCGTCTACGTCACATGTTGAGCTGAGATGAACCTTTTCAACTCCAATTACATTTCCTTTTGATTTATCTCCGAAGGCAACTATTCCTCCATCTAGTTTGATGACTGTTTTAAATAATTGTTTGTCATCAGTCATATGTCTGGAACACGCGTTGTCAAGATACTATTTTTCTTTTCGATTCTTCTTTCGGTGTTCCTGCAAAAAAGAAAGATTACTTGTTTTTAGGTACCCAAGCCTGTTTGGGTCCTGAATGGTTAGAGCTCTGAGTATTAGCTTGACTAGAAGATTTAGGTCACTAAACCCATCTTCAGTTGTTCTTGAACCTGCAATGATTATAAGTGTGGCCAAGTTTTCCGCAATAAAAGCAAGAAGGATTATTGGGATTTTCAGAGCCTCTTTCTGCTCTGATTCTGTTTCTGCGTTGGTTAGTATTGTTACCAATTTTGCCACAATAAGAGCATGCAGTAGGATTTCTAGTTCTAATCAAAGATGTATGAGTAGCAATCTGATTTGATTTAACAGAACTATGACTGGTGGATTTTCGTAATCCATTCAGTTGAAGTTGAAGTTCATTAACTTCATCTTGAAGCATATCTTGCTCAGTTTCACAGACTTCCAACTTCAAAGCCCAGTCTTTCTTTTCTCTTTTGATTTTTTTGAGTTCAGTTAGAACTCTCTCAATATCTACAAGAGCAATATCAACAAATTCTTGGAGTTCATAATAATTAGGACATGTAGGAAGACGTACCTCACTAGTTCCTTCGTCTTCCATAAGACCAAGTTCGCATGAGTTCTCTTCCTCACATGTTCCTACGTCTGCCATGAGTCCAAGTTCACCTGAGTCATTATTGTTGTCTTCTTTTATGGACATGAAGCACATATTTGCAATTTCTTCATGGTCATATTCTTCTTCATCACTCCAAGCTCCAACGGACTTCTTCTTTTGAAAGTTCCCGCCGAGTTTCTTCTTCGGTTCAGGGCATTCAACTTGAATGTGTCCATGTTTTCCACATTCATAGTATCTTCCACTATTTTTATTGTTATCATTATTTGTCCTTCCATTTCTAAAGTTTGGTTTACCTCTCCTGCTATTTCTATTTTTCCTCATCATGCTTGTTACAACTTGAGAGAGCATAGCTATGTTTTCATTTTGTTCTCCTCCTTCCTCTTCCTTTTCATTTTCTGGTTTAGCCACATTGCTTTGAATGCAACTGTCTTCTTCTTTTCTTGTTGAATCTGCCTATCTAAGTGAGTTTTCTCAAAAGCAATTAGATCACCTCTAAGTTCATCATAGGATATTTTATCAAGATCCTGACATTCCAGAGCAATAACTTTGGGTTGCTAAATCGTGGGAAGACTTCTTAGAATTTTTCTGACCTGTTTGCCACTTTTTATTGGTCTACCAAATGACTTTAAATCTCCAAGGATTTTGCTGAACCTGGAGAACATTTCCTCTACTGATTCTCCATCCTTTATTTGAAATGATTCATAGTCTCGAACTAGAAGATTCATCCTTGTTTCTTTCACTTTGTTGGTTCCTTCATATGTGACCTCTAATTTATCCCACATTTTGTTAGCAGTTTCACAGCTTGATATCTCTTCATATTCTTCTCCACTGACAACATTGTACAACAGATTTTTTTGCTTAAGCATTCACTGTTATGACAACTGATGTTCTTCAGTGTAGTCATCTAAGGCAAGTGGATTAGTCGATACTATGACTTGACCATTTTCATCTTTCTTCAAAGGAATTGGAAGATTTTTCTTTTTGATCACGTGCCAAACTTTAATGTCATATTACATAGTGTATGTTTCCATACACACTTCCCAGTGAGAAAAGTGTTGCCCGTTGAAATACGGTGGTCATACCTGAGAGGTTCCTTCTTGAAATAGCGCTCCAACGACTTTGTTTGATCCCATGATCTTTTCATCACTAGCCGTTAAGAAAAGTTTGTGAGCCTTGCTCTGATACCAATTGAAAGTAAAAGAGGGAGGGGGTGAATTGTAGCCGATTTAAAAATCTTGGTTGACTAATTGTAAGTTTAGTCGACTAGACTTCGCAGAGTGAATAATTTCAGTAGGAATGAACTAAATGAACAGAAAGCTAAAGAAGGCACAACGGTTTTTATACTGGTTCAGTACCAGTATGGTACCTACGTCCAGTTCCCTTGGGTCACAAGTGTTCTCTTAGATCTTTGATAAATGATTACAGTAGTGATGGTTTTAGTACGTTCACCATCAATGATGTACAACAACTGTGATTTTTGCAATATTGACACAGCTCTCTTTTTGCGTTCTAACTCTTCGTATCTTTTGTGACACTTGTAGACTCAAGAATACCGTGTTTGTACTAAGAACTAGAAAGGTTTAGAAATAGTTTGTGTAGTTGCGTGAATCATCTTCTTGAGTTTCCTAGTCTTCTGATAGGAGTGTTTGATAGCCAATGCAGATTGATCTTTGATTGAGGCACAGAATCCTCTAAGAGATTTGACCCAAAGGGTGCCTTCGAATCCTGCACATGAGATGGGTTGGATTCGTTTACGTCCTTCCACTTTCATATCCATATTTCAGGGAGTGATTTGTGGCATTGATTTGGTTGATCAATCTTCAGTATCTTCAGATTATAATTTAGTCCTTGAAGTATGGAATGATATTCTTTAGCAGCTGCACTCGATATGTTTCCTTCTTGAGAGAGCCTCGATGTTCTTTAATTGAAACTTTAGAATCCGGACTTGATTTTGTTTCCTTTTTTATGGCTTTGACTTCCTTTGATTTAGCATCGTTCATGTTGCCTTTGATCTTGTTTCCTTTCATTTAGTGCTATTTCCTAATTTCCTACAATCAAATACATACAATTAGATTTGCACTATTGTAATCATTGATACTTAGGTGTAACAAATCGATCCGGGTAGCTCGGCCAACATCATCCGATCGAGAGTTGTAGAACAACTCGGTCTACAAGATCAAATTGTGCCCGCAGTCTGAGTTCTGAACGGGTTCAACATGGCATGTGAAACCACTAAGGGGGAGATAATATTACTAGTGAATGCTGCTAGGATCATCCAGGAGGCCATGTTTTATGTGATAGAAGGAGACATAAGGTACAACGCCCTGTTCGGGAGGCCATGGATCCACAACACTAGGAGGGATTAAAACAATCCCTCTTGGTATTGAAATTTCCCTGTTCGGCAGTGCCCTTGACTCTTCACCAAGTATTGAAATCCCCAACACCAGGAGGGATTAAAACAATCTACGGAGAACAACCAGTCGCAAAGGAAATGTTTGCGGTCGAAGAAGTGATTCCCATATCCGCACTCGCAACGTCAAAGGAACCAAGTTCGGTCATAAAGCAAGAGGCTAAATAGCAATTACCGACACCGTCCACGACCCAATCGGAGAAAATAGGGGACCGATGAAGACAATGATTACGGGCTTCGCAGATCTTTTTTGGTCCATGATGATTCCAACGCCATTAAATCAACGGTCGAGGAGTTGGAACATGTCATATTGATCGAGCATCTACCCGATCGTAAGGTATACCTGGGCACAGGGTTAAGTCCCGAGCTCAGGAAAAAACTCATTCAATTTCTTATAGCTAACATAGATTATTTCTCTTGGATCCATCTTGATATGATAGGGATTTCCGTCGGAGATAACCACTCACAAGCTAAGCCTAGACCCGAAATTCCACCCGGTCAAGCAGAAGATGAGGCCCAGTCCGAGGTCAAACATATTTTCATCAAGGACGAGGTATCTAAACTCCTTAAAATAGGGTCCAGTCGGGAGGTTAAATACCCGGATTGGTTAGCAAACATAGTGGTAGTCCCTAAAAAAGGGAAAAAAATTAAGAATGTGTGTAGAAAATAAGGATTTGAATAAGGCGTGTCCCGAGGACTCTTTCCCTTTTCCCAACATCGATCGCATGATCGATGCCACAACCGGCCACGAGATCCTCAGTTTTCCTGACGCCTACTCTGGGTTACAACCAAATACGGATGAACCCGAATGATCAGGAAAAAACCTCCTTCATCACTAAGTATGGCACATAGTGATATAACGTGATCCCATTCAGATTAAAAAGTGCCGGTGCCACTTATCAACGCCTAGTAAATCGGATGTTCGAGGAACAAATACAAAAATCAATGGAAGTTTACATTGACGATATGTTGGTTAAGTCCCTGCGAGCAGAGGACCATTTAAAACATTTGTAGGAAACCTTCAGCATATTGAAGAAGTACAATATGAAGATGAACCTGGAGAAATGTGCGTTTGGAGTCGGATTAGGTAAATTCCTCAGATTCATGGTATCCAACCGAGGAATCGAGATCAACCCCGACAAGATCAAAGCCATCGAAGATATCAAAGTGGTGGACAACGTGAAGGCCGTGCAAAGATTAACCAGGCGCATAGCTGCCCTGGGGCGATTCATCTCGAGGTCCTCCGATAAGAGCCACCAATTCTTCTCGCTACTGAAGAAGAAGAATAACTTATTGTGAACCCCGAAATGCCAACGAGCCTTGGAGGAACTCAAGCGATTTCTATCGATCCCACTACTGCTTCACACGCCGAAAGCGGACGAACAACTATACCTCTACTTGGCAATATCGGAGATAGCGGTAAGTGGAGTCCCGGTCCAAGAGGAGCAAGGTACGCAATTTCCAATATACTATGTTAGCAGGACTCTGGGTGAGGCCGAAACTAGGTAGCCTCACCTAGGACTCTGGGTGAGGCCGAAACTGAAACCATATTTTCAGTGCCATCTTATATGTGTTGTGACTACTTACCCATTGCGAAATATAATGCATAAACCCAAACTCTCGGGACGATTGGCCAAATGGGCCGTGGAAATCAGCCGGTACGATATTGAATATCGACCCCAGACAGCCATTAAATCTCAAATTTTGGCAGATTTCGTGGTCGACTTTATGCCGGCCCTAATACCCGAGGTCGAAAAAGAGATGTTGGTAAACTCGGGGACGTCTTCGGTAATCTGGACCCTCTTTACCGACGGCGTCTCGAATGCAAAAGGGTCTGGACTTGGCGTCATATTGAAGCCACTAACAGGCAATGCAGTTAGACAATCTATTAAGACTGTGATATGACTTACAACGAGGCCGAATATGAGGCAATGATTGCAGGTCTCGACCTAGCCAAAAGCTTGGGGGCAGAGGTGATCGAAACTAAGTGTGACTCCCTCCTCATGGTGAACCAAGTTAATGGGACATTTGAGGTCAGAGAAGAACGAATGCAAAGGTACCTAGATAAATTGCAGGTAACATTACATTGGTTCAAGGAGTGGACTTTGCAACACGTACCCCGGGATCATAACAACAAGGTCGATGCCTTTTTTAACTTAGGGTTGTCGGTCGAGGATGACGAGCACAACTCAGAAACAGTCGTACAACTTATAAGATCGGTAGTGGAAGAAGGTCACGCCGAGATAAACTCTACAAGCCTGACTTGGGATTGGAGAAACAAATATGTAGAATATCTGAAGACCGAAAAACTGCCCTCGGATCCAAAAGAATCAAGGGCCCTACGTACGAACAACCCGGTTTAGCTTGTTCGAAGATGGAACCTTGTTCAAAAGAACGTCCGATGGCCCACAAGCGATATGTCTAGGACCAGGAAATAACAAATACGTCTTGAGGGTAGTTCATGAGTGCACCTGTGGAAATAATTTAGGCGCCGAATCATTAGTTCAAGAGGTAATTAGAGTCGACTACTACTAAATCGACATGGAAAAGGATGCAAAGGAGTTCATGCGAAAATATGATGGAGGCCAAAGACACGCTCCGATGATTCATCAACCCGGGAAGCTGCTGCATTCAGTTTTTTCACCATGGCCATAGTAGGGAATGGACATCGTCGGCCATCTTCTATGGGCACCCGGTAAGCCTCAATTTTTATTGTTTATAACTGACTATTTTTCTATGTGGGTGGAAGCTCAGGCATACGAGAAGGTCAGAGAGAAGGAAGTCATCAATTCATTTGGGCCGACATCATATGCTCGTTCGAAATGCCGGCCGAGATCGTGTGCGACAATGGGAAATAATTCATCAGTAGCAAAGTAAGAAAGTTTCTTGAAGACCACAAGATCAAAAGGATACTATAAACACCCTACCACCCTAGTGGGAATGGGAAAACAGAATCGACCAACAAGACCATACTCCAAAACCTCAAAAAGAGACTAACCGACGCCAAAGGAAAATGGAAGGAAATCATGCCCGAAGTTCTATGGGCATACCGTACGACCTCGAAGTCCAGCACCGGGGCCACCCCGTTCTCGTTGGTTTACAGCGACGAAGCCCTACTACCAGTTGAAGTCGGAGAACCAATTCTCAGGTTCTGATATGCGACCAAGGAATCGAACGACGAGGCCATGAATACAAGCCTGGAGCTATTAGACAAAAGGCGCGAAGCCACCCTTGTTCCACCCAAAAACAACGGATTGAAAGTTATTACAACCGAAGGGCCAACCTTCAACACTTCAATGTCGGGGACTTAGTATTAAAAAAGGTCATACTAAGCACCCGAAACCTGAACGAAGGTAGGTTGGGGACGAACTGGGAAAGACCATATCAAATTATTGAGATCACCGGAAAGGGATCCTACAAACTCGGAACAATGAACGACGAGCAACTATCGAACAACTGGAATATAACTCACTTGACAGGATATTACTGCTATGGTACGATTCCATTCATTTCTTTTATTTACATTTTGAACTAATGCTTACAGGTAACCAACAAGGAGCGGTACAAATTTTTAGGTCTGAAAACACACGTTGCACTCTTTTTCCCTTGAACTGGTTTTGTCCCAAATAGGTTTTCTGGCAAGGTTTTTAACGAGGCTACAGTGGGTCGTGCTAACATAGAATAGAAGAACGGTCATGAATCAGTGTCAAAGATCGCATCAACAATATCTGATG